TAGCCTTTAGCCGAGCGAACTGGAGGAAGAGAGAGAGGGTGGTGCGCCCAGCCGCGAGATTAATTTGATTTTCAACCAAATTTGACGCGCCCTCGGGCCCAGGCGGGCCGGCACAAAGGGCGCCGCAGATCTGTGCACGCCACGGACCGGGGATCCGTTCGGCCGGCGTCGCCCATCCCGCGGGACCATTTAAAAAGCACGAGGAGGAAGGGATTCGAATCGGTCGTCCTCTCCGAGCTTAACACCTCGGCAAGGGCCCCGTGGACTTGACGCGCGGGCCCCGCTTCCACGAACCGCCTAATAGGAATTCATATTTCACTCCGGACTTTCTCCTGGCCGGAAGAAGAATTATGTTTTGGCGAACTGGACGAGCGAGGGGATAGACAGAACGCGCGCGGAGTCAATGTTCACCGTCCGGCCGGGACCCGAACGTGATTTAGGGTCCTCACCGACTGGCTGGTGCCAGCCTCCATGCCTCCGATCAATTAGGCAGGAAAATGATTTAACGATCCAATAACCGGGGCTCGCGGTGAAAGAGGTTCTTTCGGGATTGGGGCTGCGGCTCTCGAGCTTGCCAGCTTCGGTTGCGATTGGGGAAGGCGGAACAGAATGGATTCTGGGCTATGATTTGTTTGGGGTTCATGTTGCCCCCGGAACGAGAATATTGTTGTAATCGTAATGATGCTAGAGTGAAGTCTGTTGATTTAGAGGATTATTGTGTCATCTTTTCATCAAGATTGCAAGTTTCTTGAAATGGGAGATATAAGTTTAGCGAAGCGCAATTGGATGTAATATCTTTGCTTCAATTTGCTTGTACTGAAGCGATTGAGAAAGCCAGGAAACATCGGTTTCCGTAAGGTGTCGTAATTATTAACACGTAGATCCTCGAGCCAGCGGTTCACGGAACTTTTGAGTGGGTGGTTGATTACACGAGGATGTAGAAAGGCAGAATGTCACGGCGGGTACCATTGGTCCAGAGTTCCTACGGCCCTGACGCCCCGGGTACATGAGATACTTTCATGATCTCTTTGCCGGCGTACTTAGACGTCGGAGAAAGGGAAGAAGAGGAATACGAGCGGACAGAGCCGAGTGGAAGAAGAAGAAACGCTAGATGGTTCGAGACTCTTCGACCAATGGAAGCGTCGGCGAATAGGTACAGGTTCGAGCACGTGGTACCGCCGCCTGTACTAGTTTCCCCCGGCTCGATCACCTTCGCCGAGCTTTATCTACGCGTAACCATATCTGGCTAGAATCGTCCGCGCCGCAGCGCAACCGGTAGTTATTCTTTTTTTCAAATTCCTCTCGCGACCAGGTGGTCGAGAATTCAAACGTACGAAGGGAACTGTCAAACATTAAACCCATTACCTCAAGACACTGTAATATTCTCGTAAACAACCACTTTTTGGGGGTCATTTTCCATTTTCAGTCTCGTCAACGCAACTCATTGAATAGACTAAATTCGTGTAACCTTTCTGCAAGGGTTGCTACGATTCAATTTTCTAGATCGCTAATACCGCGTCGGTTGTCCCGATAATTAGAAGCGTAGAGTGAACTACTTCTCGGTTCACCTAGTAAACACACCCAGCGCGTTTGAGATTCTGCGGCGCGCACCGCCATAAAAAAAGGAGGAATCCAATTTAAATACGATGTCGTTTCGCACGCGGGAACTGCGAACACTTTCGCGCACGGTCCCTCCTTACAAAACCGTTTTGCACCGTGAAATTCTCCGTTACGGGTCCCGTCCGCTGACGAAGGTCATGACGGGTGGGAGGAGGCGGAGGAGGAAGAGGAGGAGGAGTGCCTGCCGAGGTGGGGCCCCCGATCATTGGTCCTAGATTAGAGTATAATCCCCGGGCGGGCGCGCAATACGTTTTCTCCCCCGTTTTAATGAGAAATCCCTATCTCCCGATTCGGTCTAGCCCAATTTCGCATTTTGCGACCGTCCTTCGCTCCTCCTTTTTTCTCTCCTCTTTCCTTCTCCGTTTCCTCCTCTACCCGTCTCTTTTGTCTCTTTCCCCTCGCGGCTTTTTTTCCCCCTTTTTTCGCAATACGGTGCCGTGGCCGAACTAATAGGGGGCCCCCGCAGGGTGAGGGTCTAGAAGGGGAGCAAAAATAAAGGAGCCTATCGCCTGCGGTGGTAGGGTGGAGAACGCGCCAGAAGCGAGACGGCGCACC